CCCCTTCCCCCACAAACCTATACCCCTACCCCCCATGCCTCCCACCCCATACCCCTCCACAATATATAAGAGTGAGACTTCATTTTAAGCTATTGTGCAATCAACTCTATGTACACAACACAAACACATGTAAATCAGGACAAAAATATTTTTTGAAATCAAATAAATGAATTTTTAAAATATAATTTGGTATTTTTCTGGTACCAAGATGGCAAAACCTGTTTCTGAAATAAGTACTTACTGGGGCAAGGGGAGGAACTTCTGGTGGCAAAGGTCAGGGGTTAGGGGGCAGGACTTCCAGTCACAAGATGGTGACCAGGGGCAGGGCACCAGGGAATGGGCGGGGCTACCCACACTGCCCTTGACACCTTGCCAAGACTCAGTAAGCAGCCCTCTGCCTAAAATAAGTGCCTGCCCCTGCTCTATAGTCTTGCCTCCTCAGAGTGACAGGAGCTGCTCTGCACTAGCTGACATCAGTCCTATGCAGAAGACTGATTTGGGGAAGTTCAGAACTACAATTTATATTTTGGGTATTTGTGGAAAGTAACATGCTGAAATCAGACACTTTTTAAAACAAACCAGTTCATTTCAACAGGTCTCTGTCCTGAGAGCACCTTGTTCCAAAAATTCCAAAATCAAAACACTAATCCTACCCAGTGCCCTTAGCAAACAACTTTAAAGACTATTAGAGCAGGTATGCAGATTTCAGAGAGCACACAATAGTTGGCTTGAAAACCTAAAGGTCCTGAAGGGAAGAACGTGCTCACCCTTCACTGTAGCAGGGCTAGATCATGCCTAAAGGTAGTGATCAAAGAGTTGCCTTCGTTTGATTAACAGGAACTCTGTACACCGCCAGCCTCTACAAACCCAATACAATGGGTGCAATGGACAATGCCTGTATATCTAGTAAGTAAGATACCTTATTTATTCATCCCTGGAGGCAAGTCCCTGCACGGGAGAACTACAGCACATGCACAAGAGACTGCCCTCTTGTTCATCTGCCCCTACTGCAAATCATATTGCCTCTGAATAGAGCAAATCAGCTTCTAAGGCAGACAGACAACCTAGACAGCCAAGCTCACCCGACAACCCCCCTCCTCTTTTCTTACCTGAAGTCTGCGAGGCTCAGCTGCAGTTTCTTCCGGGCCTTGTTTCTGGTGATGTAGTTGGTGGCTGAACCCCGCTCGTACTTGGGAGAAACAAGCACAAAGATCTGTCAGTGACCGCGGAGGAGCCGTTTCCTTGCGCTAGATTAGGACCCCGGGCGGGA